CTGTGCAGCCTGCTCTGGGTGACCCTGCTTCGGCAGGGGGTTGGACTGGGTGACCACAGAGGGCCCTGCTAACCCTGCCATGCTGGGATGCTGTGAACTAGTTTCACTTAAAGCATTAAAGAAGTTAAATTGTAACAGAGCACAAACCCGATCGCTACTGCATTTCATCCAAAGAGTTGGTAACTTCTTAAGCTGTTGCGTGAGTGCATCTCGCTGTGTCCGAAGTCACGCTGACTCTTTGGAAAATTTCACCCAATACACCCAAAATTGAACTAAAAAGCAACTTTGATCAGTGGAAAGTTGGTAATGATTTTTTTTTCAGTTGTACTTCAGATTAATGGTGTTTGTAATGTCTATAGCTGGTTTGCAAAATAGGCCAGCGACACCTCTCAGCTGTTTAGCTTGGAAGAAAGCACCTTTTAGTGTAATTCGAGAAAGAATAGAAAGCAAACTCATATTTTCCTCCCCTCTCCCCCCCGAAGAATGATACGTTTCCAAAAAACTAGTGATAGCTGAACCGAACAGCTGCCTGAGCCAAGAAACCCTGTTCAGGAAAGAGGCACTGCTAAAAGAGCTCAGAATTCCCTTTTTTTTTCGTTTCAACATGGCACGCAGTACTGAGCTGTCACCTTTGGCACCAAAATGAACCAATCTGTTGCTCTTCGCCAGTAACCAACTCCAATAAAACTCCTGAAGGTTTGGCCAGTTTGCCTCAAACAAATTTTAAGTTTTCTCTGTGTGTTTATATATATAAAATTTAACAAAATTCAGAGGCTTTTATAAAGTCTTTGTTTGCATGTGGATATTTTCATCACTGTAGTCTTCATATACTATTAAAATTACTTAATTCACACTTCTTTTTTAATCTTAAATGCTTTGGACAGCCAGAATATATCTTCTGTGTAACAAAACTTTGAGGAGGAGTTGGAATGCGGTTTTTCGTTGCTTTGCCAATGATTTTGGAGAGCGCCTTGCTTTTGCCGAGCACCGAAGAGACACGAAATCTCCGTGTCTGTCTTTCCTTCCCCTCTTCTCTGCCCTGGTGAGGCCCCATCTGCAGTACTGTGTCCAGTTCTGGGCTCCCCAGTTCAAGAAAGATGAGGAGCTACTGGAGAGAGTCCAGCGCAGGGCTACGAGGATGATGAGGGGACTGGAGCATCTCTGCTACAAGGAAAAGCTGAGGGATCTGGGCTTGTTCAGCCTGGAGAAGAGAAGGCTGAGAGGGGACCTTAGAAATGTTTATAAATCTCTGCAGGGTGGGTGTCAGGAGGACGGGGCCAGACTCTTTCCAGTGGTGCCCAGCGACAGGACAAGGGGCAACGGGCACAAACTGAAGCAGAGGAAGTTCCAGCTGAAGCCGAGGAAGAACTTCTTCCCTCTGAGGGTGATGGAGCCCTGGCCCAGGCTGCCCAGAGGAGCTGTGGAGTCTCCTCTGGAGATATTTAAGACCTGCCTGATCGCAGTCCTGTGCAGCCTGCTCTGGGTGACCCTGCTTCGGTGGGAGGTTTGGACTAGATGACCCACAGAGGGCCCTTCCAACCCCTAATGTTCTGTGATTCTGTGATTCTGTGTCAGCAAGTGTGTGGTATCTACACGCAAAAATTCTTACTCATTCCCAGGTTTCTTCATGCTTTGCTGCTCCTTTGTTGTTTTCTTGGTAATGGTGGCAAACCCTCAGAGGGAAGGGTTTCTTTGGATGTACAGATATTTTCGTCTGTGTCAACTTTAGTTCAAGAAAACGAGCAGGCTCTGAATGGAGTCTCACCAAGCGCTTCCTGAATCCACTTTTCCCTTTCTTCAGGGTGTTTGGATGTTTCTTCTAAGATGTTGCACGTGGAGCTCAAACACAGCGACGGTGATTTGCAGTAAAGGTTGTTGTAGTCACTGCTCTGCCTAGTCAGTCCCTGCGGGATTTATTCCCGTGGCTGGCAGTATAATTAGAGATTAAAGTTGTAATGTGCGGCTCCAAGCTTCAGCCTTCCCAGATCCCGAAGGAGTTCTTGTGCAGAGTTGATTTCAGATCTGTTCTAGCCAGGATACACGAGGATACATTACATAGCTGTGTTTAACAGTGTTTTTCTCCCTTTCTTCTTGTTCTCCACCTCCTTTAACTTCCCGTTGAGCGTGTTGGATTGCACCCAGCACCTTGTTCTCCGTCTCGTCAGCCATGCCAACGGCAGCAAACCCCGTGCTACTCCCAGCAGATGCCACGGCGTGGGAGGTTAAACTCTGATTCTCATTTTCCCCTTTTACACTTACGTACGCTCCCCTATAAAAAAAGATGCTGTTGACCTTGGCAGGCCAGATGAGGACAGCCCGTAGATGGAATTCTTAGAACCGTTGCCGAAATTACGCTGCTTGCAATTATTAGAATTACTGCAGCATATAACAGGCGGCACTTTCACTTCTTCCTTGATGAGTGGGCAGCGTTTAACAGCCAGAAACCGGCCCTCTGCGTCTGTAGGTCGTGCACTGCTTTGCTTGTTGTCGGTGCTTGTCGTGATGCGTTTTGTTCAGCAAAGCTCTCGAGGTTCAGATTGGATATTGGGAAAAATTTCTTTATTGAAAGAGTGGTCAGGCCTTGGCCCAGGCTGCCCAGGGCAGTGGTGGAGTCCCCATCCCTGGAGGGGTTCAAAAACCGTGTGGATGTGGCCCCTGGGGACATGGGTTAGCAGGCATGGTGGGGTTGGGTTGGCATTTGGACTTGATGGTCTTAGAGGTCTTTTCCAGCCTTAATGATTCTATGATGGCTTAATATCACTGTGTTTATTTAACCTGCTACAGTGATGGAAGAAGCTGAAGGAGTTAATATCCCATCACCTATGCAGCTGGCTGGCTTTCTGATGTAATGATGACATGCATAATCTTGGAAGGGAATACTTTTTTTTTCTCAGCGTACATGCCCAGTAAAGTCAATCATCATTTTGATTTTTCATGTCATCTGGAAAACATACACAATGCTACTCTTACATATTAACATTGTTGGGAAACCTTTCTGCTGCCTACAACAAATGTACTGTAAATACTATGTAATTTGTTCAAAAAAGGAAGCGAGAATAATGTCTTTATGGGGTTTGTGTTTGGTTTTCACTGGGACTTGAAGCAGCACAGTTACAAGGAACATTTGTGCAGTAGAAGTACAGCATTGCAGAGCTAGAAGTGAAGTTTGCAGTTGCTGCGTTTACTGTGAACATGAAAATGCACGCTTACAGCTCTAAGGGGACATCTTCTAACTGTAAAAGGTTATAGCATCTTTCAGCTATTAAATTGCTGGTTCCTATTCAAGCCTGATGCCATCTGATACCAGTGACCTGCACGAAACAAACTGTGGCTTCAGTCCCTAAAGACACGTATTGCCGACGGATCGATGCCTGGCGCTGCCCCGGCAGACCGCTCCGGTGGTGAACTGCCTGGAGACTCCTACAGCTCATCCATGGAAGTCACATGGGTGGTGGTTCAGTGTTGACATGCTCTCTGTTGTTGCCAGACATTTCCAAGGATAGGTGAGGGGACTGGAGCATCTCTCCTATGAGGAGAGGCTGAGGGAGCTGGGCTTGTTCAGCCAGAAGAGAAGGCTGAGAGGGGACCTTAGAAATGCCGATAAATCTCTTCAGGGTGGGTGTCAGGAGGACGGGGCCAGACTCTTTCCAGTGGTGCCCAGCGACAGGACAAGGGGCAATGGGCACAAACTGAAGCAGAGGAAGTTCCAGCTGAACATGAAGAAGAACTTCTTCCGTCTGAGGGTGACAGAGCACTGGCCCAGGCTGCCCAGGGAGGTTGTGGAGTCTCCTTCTCTGGAGATCTTCAAGACCCGCCTGGACAAGGTCCTGTGCAGCCTGCTCTGGGTGACGACCATTCTGTGATTCTGTGAAAAAGGGTTTTTGGGGTATTGTTTTGGTATGGAATCTCTTGTTGTGTAGGATAAGCAAAATAAGCTGTATATTTGCACACCTTTTTAATATGTATAATCAAGCTATCTTGTCACCTTGTTACCTGCATTTATTCTTACGTTTGTGCCCTGTTCCATACCTTCGGTATAATTGCGGCTGATGCATTTATTCTTTGCTTGCGCTGTCTTTCATTGCCAGACTCCGCGGAAAGATGAGCTGTACGAAACACACCGCAAAGTTTTCTGTATCATGAGCGCTGTTTTCCCTCTGCGTGCCGACTTTGCAAATGATTCTATTCAAGGAGTTTGAGCAGCCCACACACTGAAAATTAAAATGTATTTTTTCCCCCTCGCGTTAAGAAAGCCAGCACCAGATGTTTTGCGAACGAGCCTTTCTAGACGTGATACGCTGATTTCCATGCCGGTTCGTACGGCCGTCAGCTGAACGTCAGCTTTGGCTGCTGGGGCGCAGACCATGCACAGCAAAAGCCAGTTTGAGACTGGAGGGAGAAACCTTAATTTTGCCTTAGTTTCTAGCTGGCTGTTAATCTCTCAAAGCATTAGCTGGGTAGGCCAGCGATAGTTACCGCAACGTCGGCGAACGCACTGAAGTAGCAATGGATGCAGACTGGACTCTTGCGAAAACGAGGGGGAAAAGGCATACAAATGACAAGGATGTGTTCTAAAAATTGTAACGTAAAAATTGAGCGAAGTCAGAAAATGGTGAAGCTTTGGGCTCTTCTGCTCGCGGTCTGGAAGAGCAGAGATGTTACGGAGCAGAGGAGCGGAGGCAGCTGGTTTAGGGAGGCTGCGCTGTGCCCTTTTGGTCTCCGCCTGACGTTCTGTTGATTTATCAGCCTTTCAGTTTCCATGAGGAATACCAAATTCACTCCCAAATTGAAAGGACTAAACGACGGGAAGATAGCAAATACGTGACAGTGCTGCCTTTGATTTGGAGGACTTGCCTATTTCCACATGAGATAAAGTGTTTATTCAAAATCTGAGCCAGGCACAAGGCCAGAGCACAGCTCATGTCAGTGTTGCCCAAACTACATTTATAGAAACTTGTGTATTTCCAGCATATCGACTTCATTTTTTTATTTAAGCTTTTAGAGCTAGTTTTTAATCATCACTCTTTCTCTGAGGAATTTTTTTTTATAAACTGCGGCAAATCTGTTGTGCAGAAGCCACCAGCTGGAAGGCGGATTTTTTTTATTATTCTTGCAAGTTTTTAATATTTCCACTGCAGTTTCATTTCATAACCTCGTGGTCGCAGGTACATTAATCTTTTAATAGCGTAAATTCTCAGTAAGTGACTCTTTTTTCCCGTTAAACTATTTGCTGTTGCCCTGAAATGGCATCTCCAGAGTGCATTAGTCACCGTTTCACAGCTTGTGTAAAAAATGGGTAACTGTCCGGCGGCCGAGTCGCAGCTTCCAGAATCTGCTGCCGTTGTTTTTAAAGGCCACGGGCCTGCGCCTGAGTGAAGAAATACCGCTGGGCTGGGCACGGATGTGATTTGGTGACAGCTCCTATTCCTTCGCTGCCCGGGGTTTGCTTTGTTTGGTGACTGCTTTCCTGATGTTATTTGAGAATCGTGTGTTGAGTATTATTTACTCATCGTTTGCTGTCCAGTTTCAATAACAACAAGTGCTGAAAAAGCCAAACCGAAGAATATTGATCAGCTCATTTTTATTGTTATTCTTTCACTTACTTCTATCTGATGGTTTAATGCCAAATGTGCTTTGTTTTACCAGATGAACGCTGATGCAGAAAAGGAAGAAGGCGAAGAGTTTGATGAGAGCATGGATGTTTTTGATGACAGTAGTTCTAGTCCTTCTGGTACTCTAAGAAATTATCCTCTCACCTGCAAAGTTGTTTATTCATATAAGGTTGGTGATTTTTTATTTTAATTTGATTAGAAAAATGAATTATGCAACAAAGAATAGATGTAACCGTTCCGTGGGAGTTCGAGGTAGAACGTGGGCGTTTGGCTCAATAATGGTGCACATTAAAGACGTCGAACATCTGGTTGTGAGAAACTGCAGCCGTGTAACATCCGTACCGTTGGGAAACGCGTCTGAGCGACAGTTCAGCAGAGCTCTGAGGTCTGCGCATGGGGAGATGTCCCTGTCCGGCTTTAGGGAGCCCAGCTGCCGTGAGAAGGTGCTCTGGCTTTTGTTGCTGGGCCGGTGTGGCTTGATTAGAAATCCCTTCTCCGTGTCCGGCGTGCTTGTACGCTGCACGACAAAGCTCGTCTTTGTACTGTAACAGCGAAACCGCCATTCATGAGTTGAAGCTTTGCTGCCAAACTGCATTCATGCTATTTACTGCTGCTAGCAGTGCTTGCTGGGTTGTAAATCACAGCGCCGCAGCAGCTGAGGCCCGTGGCAGGCGTAGTCTTCGAGTACGGAGTAATTAGGGTTTGGAAAGTAAATAGGGTTCGACGCGCTGGGTGGTATTCGGGGTGCTTCCATCCATCCTCTTGACTGAAAAAGGGTCTGCTGAATGCCAGTAGGTATACAGAAAACCCCTTATTAATAGGTTTTAAAGGATGCTACATTGTAAAATCTTCAGTTTTTTAATAAAACGTAAGTTTTAATAGAAGTTTGGATGAGAATGTTCCTCACACTGCCTGTCCCTTGCGCCTGGAAACGCTTTTACTTTCTAATTTTCCTACACGCTTCAGGCTTCTCAGCCGGATGAATTGACCATAGAGGAACACGAGGTGCTGGAGGTTATTGAAGATGGAGATATGGAAGACTGGGTAAAGGTATCATTGTTCTGAGATTTGTTTTCTTTTCGCTATTACTTTTAGAAATAGAACTTGGGACGGGAGAAAGTATTTGGATTCTTTTCAGAGGAGTATGCAAAAGCCGAGCATCTTTTCTGTCGCTTATTCACAGGCACGGAATAAAGCGGGTCAAGTGGGTTACGTGCCGGAGAAGTACCTGCAGTTCCCGACGTCCAGCAGCCTGCTGAGTATGCTGCAGTCCCTCGCGGCGCTGGACAGTCGATCACACACCTCAAATAACTCCACTGAGGCCGACTTAGTCTCAGGCAGCCTGAATGGAGACTCCAATGGTAAATGCAAATAAATAAATACGATATTAAGCTTGTTCTCAGAAGCGTTCTGCATACCATATAAATCTTATCTTATAAATGCTTACAAATATCTGATGGGTGGGTGTCAGGAGGATGGGGCTGAACTCTTTCCAGTGGTGCCCAGCAACAGGACAAGGGGCAACGGGCACAAACTGAAGCGGAGGAAGCTCCAGCTGAACATGAGGAAGAACTTCTTCCCTCTGAGGGTGACGGAGCCCTGGCCCAGGCTGCCCAGGGAGGTTGTGGAGTCTCCTTCTCTGGAGATATTCAAGACCCACCTGGACAAGGTCCTGCTGTTTCGGCAGGAGGGTTGGACTAGATGACCCCCAGGGGTCCCTTCCAACCCCTGCCATTCTGTGATTCTGTGATCATGTTTGGATGTTGCACTTGAGAATTTCTCATATTTGACCTGTATCAGAGTATAACTGTTCTCAGTAATTATCTGTCTCAGATCAAATCTGCATAATTTGCCTGGCTATCTCACAGAGTTGAGATTCACATTAACAAAAACTAAGGAAAACTAAAATAATTTAACTCAGCAATGATAGAATCATAGAATTGCTTGGGTTGGAAAACACCTTTAAGATCATAGAATCACAGGATGCTTTGGGGTGGAAGGGACCTTTAGAGGTCACCCAGCAGTGAGCAGGGACATCATCGAGTCCAACCGTAACAGTATGTGTAGTACTTAGTATTTTGTTAAGCTCATGCCAATTACACCTTTTTTTTTTCCCCCCTCTTCCATTCTTCAGTCTGTTTTGTAAAAGCACTTTATGATTACGAGGGCCAGACAGACGATGAGCTCTCCTTCCCGGAGGGAGCGATCATCCGCATCTTGAACAAGGAAAACCAAGACGATGATGGCTTTTGGGAAGGAGAATTCAACGGACGTGTTGGGGTGTTCCCGTCAGTGTTAGTTGAAGAGCTGACGGCCTCAGAAAATGGAGAGACTCAGTGGATTGGAGATATTCAGGTAGGTAGAGAGCTGAGCTCCTGGCTTGCACGTAGATGAGTTTGTTCGGGCGATTTTGCAAGGCTGCAAACATCCGCCACTTCGTTAGGGGATTAAAAAAAAAAATCAGAAACACTTTAAGAAAACAAAACCCCTGAGTTCTTACCTTTTTAATTTCTTCCCCAGCCTAATAATTATCAACTGATAGATTTTGGCAAATTTAACAGATCCGTGAATAAAGGCAAGTGTTTGGGTAGAATGGAACTGAACCAAAGGAGAAAATTCCCAGTCTACTTCCTGTAATTAATTTATGGCATAGACTTGAGACATCAAACAGAACCTGGCAAAATGAGAATTATTTGCTCTCTCAGCCCTAATTTAATGTTTTCATACTTAAATCTGTATCCTCTGAATTTTGGAAGGGCAGAATACTGCTGAATATTGTATTACAGTAATTTTTGCAGAAAAATCCTCATTTCAGTATAGTTCTGTAATCCTTATATCATATTAGAAAATCAGAAACGTTCTCATGTGTAATTGTGGTGCTAAAAAGTGGACTTCCATGTTCCCTACAAAGTAATTACTCCAGTATTTTTATTCTTTGATTGGAGAAGATCATGAAAACTTAACATTTAAATGATATATATGTGTGTGCAATGGAGCTGGGATAAAACTCGCAATCTTAACGCTTTTATGGGAATATATGTGGAGAAACACACTTGGTCAAATGAATTTTTTCAGACAACCTTCAAAAAGTCTGTCTAAGTTATCTGGAAGAGGATGGAAATTTCCGCTCAGTGGCAACCTGTGATTTAAGCAAACACCTAATCACTGTTGGCTGTCTTGGCTTTCCTTCCCAAACGTACCTGACAGCGCTTTTGACGGGTAGTTTTTCTCCGGATGAACGTTCCTAGCATGCCGATGCGTCGGAGAACTTCCTGCACCTCGGTGTGTCCATAAATCCGTTGACGAGGAAGGCTTTCTGCAGCCCCTCTCTCTTTTTAACGCAGGTATCCCCGACTCCGAAGCCGAATAACGCCCTCCCGCCGCTGCCGCTGTACGACCAGCCTCCCGCTAGTCCCTACCACAGCCCGGATAAAAGGGGTTCTCAGTACTTCCCCAGATCGCCCTCCACTAACGGTAAGAAGTTTTGTGATAGCGAAAGAAACACTTCAGCTAAATGCTGAATTTAGATTGCTCACATTTCAATGGGGGGAGAGGAAAAAAAGCGCTTTTTTTGCAACATGAAGTCAATTCAGCAGTATGGAGTGGCTCGTTTGTGACGGGCTGTCGCTTACTCTTGCAGAAAACAGCTTCGGTTCCGAGTCCCCTGGATTCTCGCAGCCTCCGCGAATTCCTCCCGAAGCGTCGTACGGCAAACTGCGACCTGTAAGTTCAAACCAAACGCCGTTGTTTTTATCGGTGCCACAAAGTTTCAAGGTCAAGTCTCGGTAAATCGGGATAGGTGCGTTCAAAGCAGGGTGGTGAGACAGCACCTGGCTCTCTGTCTTCTGCAAATCTGATCGCCGTGTGTAGAAACGCGGCGTCTCAGACGCGTACTGCGAGGAAAGGTCTGTTCGCTCCCCTTTGGCGGTACGGTAGGTGGGTCAGAAAGCTGAGAGCTAGCTGAGATGAAGCGAACCCCGGAACGAAACAAAGCTGTGCTTGTTTGAACAGTAAGTCACGGTGTTTGAAGATGACCTTGAATCTTACCCAGCCCCTCTCCTTCGTCTAAGCTGCCCTTCGGTGTCTGCCTTCTCGGGTGCAATCGCTGCACGTCTCTGTGTGAGGCGTACGGACCATGAAATCTAACCTGGGAGGAAATTACATCTATAATGACAGTAAAATAGATGTTATTCGATAAACTTCCACTGCCTTCTCAGGCGCTGGGAGGTTATTTGTGCTCTTGCCATGTGTAATGACCCTTAAAAGAACTAAAAAAAAGGTGGTGGAGAAATGCCAGAACAGTTTAATCGTCAGATTTGTACAATTGCTGCTTCTCCAACGTGCCGGCAAACAAATCTCCTTGCCAGCAGTTTGACCTAACGTGCAGTCTGTGGGGCTCGATTGCGTCTAGGGTGAAGTTTATTTCCAAACCCCTTGATTTGAGGGGTTTGGATTAAAAATTCTTAGTGCTGAGGTCTGTATATTCTGCGATGTCTTCGCTGCCTGGAGGGCAAGATTTTACCTGGGAAGGAAAGGAAGAGTTTGATCACTTAGAACTTGCAAAATCCATCCCCTAGGATTAACTTTGAAATCAAGTTTGGGGAGTTTCAAAGTCCTAAACCAAATCACATTAAGATGTCATATTTGTATTTTCCTGGCATTCTCAGTGGATGAGGTTGCAGAAAACGAGCATTTTTGGATATTCAGAAATTATATTCTGAATATTCCAGTAGTCAGTGAGTGAGCCTTATTCACTGACACGCAAGGCAGAGGGAGTACTGCGTCAGTAGGTACGTAAGTATTGAACAGGGGTGTTTCAGGTTGTCTTATTCCCTTGTAAAAAGACGCAGGTTCAGGTTTTCCATTTTGTAGATTAGGAGTTTCTTGCAATTTGCTGTCTTTTCAAGATATTACTACAGTGTCGTGCCTTAATTGAAAGGATTTCTGTTAGTGTTGCATATTAAATACGCCCGGTTGGAGAATGCTGTGGTTTGTTAGGGTATTGCTCCTCAGTTCACGTTTTCCATAGCAAGGCGCTGCGGTGTGATAAAAGCCCTGCGTGGAGTGCTGTTAGCGCTTAAGGTAATCTCTGTCAGGAGCAACAATAACTTTATTGATGCGGCAGAGCGTGAAAATAGCGTCAGATTTCAGGTGTGTATCGTTCAGCTCAATTAAATACAAACAAGCCTTTCGGATGCAACAAGGACCGTTCTTGCAGTTCCCACTCCCGACGTCCCAGGCAAGGGCGTCATCACGTTTCGGCACCTGATGTCGAGCCCGCAGTCCGTCCCGGGTTTACGCACCGGGTTAGGCAGAGCAGCTAGGTCGGTTCCCTGTCGTGATTGCTAGTCATCCTGGGGGAAAATGACCTGAGAGCGGTGGCAGGTTGTAACGAAGAGCCTTGATGGCTTCACTGGAGGCTGCTGGACCTGAATTCAGCTGGTTGCTCGCTGTAGTTCTGCTGAGCTTAATCCACGATCCGTCTATTTGCATCGTCTTGAGGTGCGAGCCCAAAGTTGCAGTTCTGGTCTATGCAAGTGCTGAAATTTCGACAGTTTTCTGATAGCTGGTTCTGGCTGTTGCAGGTGCGAGCAGCTCCACCACCCCCTACGCAGCATCATCGCCGGACGACAGAGAAGATAGAGGACGTGGAAATTACTCTGGTGTAACGATCGGACTAGTCAAGTAGTAGTGCTACAATCAAGACCGAACGCGGTATTTGGTCAATCTCGTTTTTAGGCACCTTTGCATGATGAAGACTTCTAATAGAGCAAGAGATAGGGAGGATTTTATGTGGCAGTGACATGGTGGATTCCTTCCCACGGTCATGAATATTTTGTGCCTTTTTTTTTTTCTTTTTTTTTTTGTTTTGGTTTTGATTTATATACATCATTCTTCCTCTCTTAGCACAAACCAAGGTGGGCCAAACAGCGAGCAGAGGATTGCCTCGGAGCAGGCTTCTCTCTTGGCTGGAGATGGTCAGTTTTTCGACGGAGGCTGAGGGAAGAGCCTCGTTCATGCAGCTTAGTCATAGCGTACTTCGATCACGTGCATTAGTACAGTATATTACTGTTGCCATAGGAATGTGTTAAAGATTGTCAATTCTTCGAGTAGCGTTAATTGTCTGATTAGGTATTAATCAGATCTTGCGGAATGAAAAAGGGAACTGCAAAATAAGTATAAGGAGAGGCTGGCTCCTCTTTAATCCCCGTGCAGAAAGGAAGAAACAGGAAAATAATCTTCTAGATAAGGAAAACCGTTGCAGATCATATGGCATTAATTACATTAATGCACACCTCTTCAATAATTAACAGTTAAACAGAACTAAATGTTCTTTGTATTAATATTTATGCAGTACATTTAGTAATAGAGTATCTAATATGGAGGTGCTGAATTAGTAGCAACATCTTGTTCCATAGCATAAACCAACTGGTAGAAAAGTAAGTGAGGTTTTGTCTAGATCTGGAAATTGAGCTTCATATTTTTTCTTAGCAGATTTTGGGGCTTTTGGTTTTTTTTAAAAAAAGTATTGGGGTCACTCGTAGCCCAGTTATTGCCGTGTACTTTATTATCCAACGTTAGCAGTATATCTTTGTCATCAAAACATCCGGCTAGAGTTAGAAGTTACATTTAGAGTATTTACACGCGTTATTTAGTTCTTGCATTGGATGGTCCTGTCGCGTTCCCCCGTGCGAAGCCCGTGAACAAGCCAAAGCCCGAGCGCCCGGGGAAGCGCTGCTTTCCGCAAAGCCTTCAGACCGCCTGCGTGGCCAAGACCGGGCTCTCAGATTCCACGATAAGAAAAATTACTCTTGGGCAAGAAAGAGACCGTAAAAGAATTTCTAAACTCATTTTCAGTCGGAGATCTCTGAAAAGGAAGCTGCTTCTTCTTGTTGTTTGAGAGAAGTGGGCAGAGGAGATTCTGCGGTTTGACAAGGAGAGAAGTGGTCGGAGGAAAGGGAAAAACTGGATGAAAAGAGGATTTTCTTTGTGTACTTACTGAATTGTTTTCAGCAATCTCCATCAGATCAAAGCTTCGGTTAAAAGGCATCACAAGGTTGGTTTTTTTGAGCTGTTTTATGGGTTCCAGTGAATGCGCTCTTATGTCTTCATTTTTTGTTTCTAAGCCAGTAAGTTTTCTACCTTTAGTTTACTAACAAGGGCTATTTTTTGAGGCTGCATTTACAAAAAAAAAAAAAAAAAAAACACCCAAAAAAATTTTTAATAAAATATTTAAAAAAAAAAAAAAAAAAAATCACCTAACAAGATTTTGATCATAAACTTTGCACATACTTGTAAATCCCAGCCCAGTCTGGGTCTCCGAGTCATTTGTGTTTGCCAATCTCCTTTCCCAGTGGGGTCTCTAACCAGGAGCGGGGCTGGTCGCCGAAAACAAGTCATGGATCAGTTCGGACATCGGTGACTGTCCAATGAAGTCTCTTCCATGTTTTTCATTCTTTTGCACCTCTTGTCCTGTTGATCTGTTTGAGGTCTTTTTATGTGTTTATCAAACTTATTCTTAAGTTTAAAAAAAAAAAAAGTTTTTAAAAAAGATTTAACTGTTTGCAAAAATGTTGAGAGCTTCACAATGCAGAAGAAAAGCAAGTATTGCCATAATGTTCATAATGTTCCATTTCTTTGGCCAGTTTTTCTGTGTCCTTCATACCTGGACTTTCAAAATTCAGAAAGTGTTATTTAAAGTCTCTTTAGTTGTATTTTAAAATATTTTCTGTAAGAGCTGCTAATTTTATTTAAAAAAACCAGAAAAAAAAGAAAAGTTGTAAAAATATGCCTCCTTTTTACCTATGATTTCTTCATACAGGGCATGTATTCGACGTATCATCGTGTACAGCGTCAGTACACTGAAAGCATAGGTGCAAATGCTTTCTTTATATTGGCTGTAAAAAGTTTGTATTTATTATGTATAAAAAGTTAAATAAAAAAAAAGTGGAACTAAATCCATGACGTTGCCTTGATAACAGACACCGCTGCGCCCATGGCAAAATGGCGTTCGATTTGGGTGTAGATCTGGGGCTGAGGGAGAACCTGGCGTTTGGGGTAGAAAAAGTACGTTTTTGGGGGTATCAGTTTTATGGTTTATGCTTTTACACAGAGATTTGAATCTCACGAAAACACTTAGCGCATACTTAAAGCGATCTTTAAATATCTCTTTAAGGTGGTATTTGTACGAGGACCAAAATTATAAAATGAAAAGCCAGTAACAAAGCTCCAGTTATCGAAATAATTGCTCAACAGCCTTTCTGCAATTAGGATAATTGCATACAGAAAGAGGGAGAGAGTGATTGATAACAACTCTTCAGCACAATTGTCCTTTAATAGTGTTGATGCGCCGAATTGTGCGAGGATTATTCCCACTGCATCCCAAACCTTGCTCCCTTCGCGCTCCGAGCTTCCCCGTTGTATTTCCTCGCCGGCGCTGGGAAGCGACCCGCCGGTGCCCAGCTCCTTGCTGGCTCCCCTCGGTTTCTCACAGGCGAGTGCCCTGTGCGCGAGGCCGTACGTGACTGTGTTTTACCCCGTTTGAACACAGCTCGCTGCAGGAGGGCCCCGGCACCATCGGCCGCTGGGAATCGCCGCGATGTCGGGCTAGATCTTTAATCTTTCATTTCCACTCCTCACACAGAACCGTTACACGGGCTTTCATCATTTTTTTCTCTGAGCTCCTGCAGCCTCTTCCTTTGAGAAATCCCACCTTCCCCTGCTTTTCATACACATTCACGGTGCTCCTTCAGGAATAACTGCCCTGGCTTGCTGCTTCGACCGCTCTGTCCTTTCCTTTCAGCTTCTTGCTCACTGCATCTCTCCTTCCCTTGCTGTTTCACACGGAAGCCTCCTTGCTTGTGATTCTTGTCGACACCGCGTACAGACGACGTTAATCCTCAAACCCACCAACGATGCCGCTTTTCATTTCGTCCATTTTTTAACAGGCCGCCTTCACGCCTCTACTTTTTCTCCTTCCCCCTTCCTTAAAAGCTGTGCTGTGACAGAACAAACCCAGCAGATAATTGTGCCATTAACACGAGCATAACTTCTTTCCATGAAAATCTCTTCGTCCTGAAGTGCTTTCCCAACGGCGTGGCGAGGCCCAGCTGCTGCCGCTGGCCTGCAAGTGGGAGACGGCTGCGGTTTTGACAGCGCGCAGCGGCCGTGCAGAGGCACAAAGTAAAACCGAAGGCTCCGTGGTTATACATCTTCTGCCTGGGATATTTACAGAAGTGGTAACATGGAACTTGCCTGGCGCAAAGGTTGGAGTGTTGGTCTCTGGAAGAGTCGGCAGCAGGACCATCGCTGTCCCTCTTAGCGCCGGAGTTCTCTCCCATGGCTCTGCTGCCCAGATTTTCAAATATAATGAGACTGAGACAGAAGTGACGGGGTAAATGGTGTCGTGTACCTCACTACAAATTAATTGTGTTGGGGTTTCTTTTTGTTTGTTTGATGGAAATACTAAAAGAAACGCAGGCACTTGGGCGAGCTCTCTTTCCCATACAGCACAAGTATTTCTCACTGTTAATATAATTGTGATTAAAAAGGAGAACAAAACCCCCACCCTCTTCTCCAAATAAAAGATCTTTTGCTTCTCTGGCTATAACGCGGAGGCCTGGCTACTCTGCAGCTTGCGCTTTTTTCCCCGCTTGCTCTCCCGGCAAGGTCCCTGTAATTAATGAGCTGCAGATCCCAGCACGGCAGAGGCAGGAGGAGCGGGAGATGGACCTCAGCCGGCCTTTCCTTCTACCCAGCTTCGCAGGCAGCTTGGGAGGGGAGGTGCTGCTGCCGTGGAGAGTCCTGTCTCCCCCCATCTTACAGAATGACAGAATCCCAGCATAGCGGGGTTGGCTCCGTCACCCTCAGAGGGAAGAAGTTCTTCCTCATCTTCAGCTGGAACTTCCCAGGCTTCAATTTGTGCTCATTGCCCCTTGTCCTGTCGCTGGGCACCACTGGAAAGAGTCTGGCCCCATCCTCCTGACACCCACCCTGCAGATATTTATCAGCATTTCTAAGGTCCCCTCTCAGCCTTCTCTTCTCCAGGCTGAACAAGCCCAGCTCCCTCAGCCTCTCCTCGTAGGAGAGATGTTCCAGTCCCCTCACCATCCTTGTAGCCCTCCGCTGGACTCTCTCCAGTAGCTCCTCATCTTTCTTGAACTGGGGAGCCCAGCACTGGATGCAGTACTGCAGATGGAGCCTCACCAGGACAGAGTAGGGGGGGGAAAATCTCCGTTTGCAGGTCCGCTCGCTGCTCCACGTGAAAACGATGGGAGGGAGTACGCTGCCCCTTCCCTCCTCCATCTGGCCAGCTCTCTTCAGGGGGTGAGTTTGGGGTTTGGAGACCTCAGTTCAAGGTGCAGGGAGAGGCTGGAGAAGGTGAGGAATAAAAGGAAAGAAAACTTAGTGAAGTCAGGGATGGATGCAGCAAATGAGCCAATAAAAAATGCAGCTCGGAAAACACTGACGTGCTTACTATACCAAGTAGTTTCCTACTCCAGGCATTACCCAGGGGGACTGAGGATTACAGATCCGGTAGGAGGATCGCTATAGCAAGTGAGCCTCTGCATTGCAGGTCATTTCATCCAGAAAATAAAAGCACTGCAGTGATACCGGGGCTGGAGAAGGTAGGAGATCTCTGTGGTTCGCGGAGTTGCGCTGGAACAGCCACCAGCCGTGCGGGGAAT